CTTTCAGCTATTTGAGCTTCTTCTGTTGAGAATTTTCTGTTTAACTCTATAGCTCATTTTTTAATTGGACTGTTGGTTATTTTGATGTCTAATTTCTTGAGTTCTTTATATATATTCTGGATATCAGACCTCTGTCAGACGTGGAGTTGAAGATCTTTTCCCATTCTGTAGGCTGTTGTTTTTGTCTTGTTGACCATGTCCTTTGCCTTACAGAAGCTTCTCAGTTTCAGGAGGTCCCATTTATTAATTGTTTCTTTCAGTGTCTGTGCTACTGGTGTTACATTTAGGAAGTGATCTCTGGTGCCAATGCATTCAAGACTACTTCCTACTTTCTCTTCTATCAGGTTCAGAGTAATTGGATTTATGTTGAGGTCTTTGATCCACTTGGACTTAAGTTTTGTGCACAGTGCAGTCTTCTACATGTTGACATCCAGTTAAAGCATGACATTTTAAATATATAAGAGACACAGTCACAAGTGTTCTGACTGCTCCACGAATCTATAACTCACATCCTAGAGTGACTTGCATTCAAATCAGTAAACAGAATATGAGGCTGGGATGCAGTACAGTGGCAGAGCACTCACCTAGGATATATGAGGCTCCAGGTTCAATTCCTAGCACAGGATATGCACAGCCCAGACCATTTCATAAGCATGAAACTTTGATGTATGTGAATATTTTAAATCTAGTACAGAAGGCTGAGTGACTAGAATTTCTAAGTGTGTATTACTTATGAGATTGGGTTTGTCTAGAAAGACCTATGCTCCAATTTTGCTCAGCATAAACTCTAAGGTAATGAACTTGCTTTTACCTTTGTGTGGTATGAACATCTTCCACAAGTGACTGACTGTCAGTTTCCAGTCAGACTTTGTGGAAACAAAACATTATATGTAGATTCTCTTCAGTGTCTATAGATAGCTCTTATGTACAAAAGAACCATTTTGACAGTAGAGCAAAATTTTGTAGTATTTGTTTATTTGTTGCACATGTATCTTTAAATATTTTGATATAGTTAAATAAGAGTTTGTATATTTCATGGTGTTTTACTTACTATGATCATGTGTTTTGAAATCCGGCTGTGTTTCCACAAGATCATGCCATCCCATGCCCTCACCACTTTGCCAACAGCTTTGTGGCATGTCTTTCTGACAGCATTGTGCCAGCCTTGAAGCAGGGCAGGCTGTGTTCACATCCCATCCTTGCTGCTCATGAGTACTCATTCTTTCTGAGAGGCTTTTCTTTCATTTTTTAAATGGTTTTTTTTTTTTAGGTAGAGTTTCTCTATGTAGTCCTGACTGTCCTGGAACTCGATTTGTAGACCAGGCTGGCCTTGAACTCAAAGATCTGCCTGCCTCTGCCTCCCAAGTGCTGGGATTAAAGGCGTGCATCACCATTGCCCGGTTTCTTTTTCCTCTTTACCATAATGCCGCACACAGGTGCCTGCTCACACTAACAGTTCAGTGAATGGAAGTGATTACCATTTTTTTAATGACTGTCTTCCAGGGCACCCTGCAGAATTTCAGCTATTTCCATTCCTACAGTTGTTAGGATCACTTGGCTATCGTCTCTGTCATATGATCAATTCTCTTGTTCTATTTTAAAAATTGCACAAAACTCAAACTCAGCTGACATCTTCAGAGCTAAGATTCCAGCAGAACTCCAGGCTCCCAGGCTGCTTAGCAGAGACCCTGGAGCAGTATCCTGACATCTTACACTGCAGGGGATTAGTGTGTGTGTGTGTGTGTGTGTGTGTGTGTGTGTGTGTGTGTGTGTGTACATGTAGTTGGATTTTTATATGGGCTGCCAGCTCACAAATAATGACGTGGAAACTTATGATTAATTATGAAAGCTCAGCCTTAGCTTAGGCTTGGTTTTTTGAGACTGGGTTCTCTGTGTAGCTTTGCACCTTTCCCGGAACTCTCTTTGTAGACCAGGCTGGCCTCAAACTCAAAGAGATCCACCTGCCTCTGCCTTCTGAGTGCTGGGATTAAAGGCATGCACCACTACTGCCCGGCTACGTGTACCTGTTTTTATTCATCTACGTTTTACCATGAGCTTTCTTTCATTCCGTGTGTCCGACTCCCTCCAGGTCTCCTTGGCGTCTTCAGTGTCCTTAGATTCTCCTCCTCTTCCTCTCTCTTCCTGGAAATCCCGCCTATACTTCCTGCCTAGCTATTGGCTGTTCAGCTTTTTATTATACAAATCACAGCAAATACACCTTCTCGCAGTGTACACATATCCCACAACACGCATGTTCACATGTGTGCCTGTGAATGGGTTTGTAGTGTATCAGTGGGCATGCATATGGAGACCAGAGGACATTAGATGTCTTCTTTCACTTTTCTTCACCTGCTTTTCTCTGAGACAGGGTCTCTCCCTCAACCCAGAGCTCACTGGTTTGCAAGCTTAGCTGGTGGTAAGCTGCAGGGATCCTCCTGTCTCCACCTCCCCAGTGCCGAGAAAACCACTGCAAGCACTTTCTTTACCTGCTCATCTATTCCCACAGCATTGGAAGGCTTCTCAAGCTTAGCCATGGTCTGGGGCGTGCTGTTAGCTTAGATAAGATATCCAAGTGGCAAAAATAGCAGCTATGTTGTATTGGGGGTAGACCACAGGAAATAGTCAAGGTGTAATAAGTGACTCAGCTTCTATCGGATGAGCCCATTCTTTGTAAGAATTAGAAATTTATTCCATTTTTAGAACTTCCTATAGAATGGAGAAAAACAGCATTTCATGGTGGCCAGGGTTGTCTGAAAGGACGTTGGAAGCGATCCTTTTGCTATCTTGCCTGCAAACATTTTCACAGGGCTCAAATTGCTTTGCAAGAATGGCCCTGATTAGTGGCACCTGGAAGGCTAGTCCGAAATGCATAGATGTGTTAGAAGGGCAAAAACAAGAGGTAGGAAATGCGGGGAGGGGATGGATTCAAGAATAGAATGATCCAGAGACCCAAGGGCGCATTTATAAGGAAGAAAAGCAAGGTAGGAGGTAGGGTGCCTCTGTTGCTAGGCAACCCACAAACAAGCTTTTTGGTGTTTCCAGAGTAACCGCAGAGGAGGATAGAGAGTACTTGAGATGTTTTTAGAAATCACATCCAGTGAGCACCTCCTTCTCCTGTCCTTTGGCATCCTAACTTACTTAATAGCTACCTGGGTATCCCACTTGCTAGTCTGGAGAGACAAGCTAATTTACTGAAGATCAAGTGCATCCTAGACTGACTCAGAGGCAGCGCCCTCTGCAAAGCCATCACGCCTCTGCTGACTGCACATTTGAGCTTGGGCATGGTTAGCTGTTCCCTGAACAGAAAATTTCTCAAAAATTTTAGAAACAACATTTTATGGAAAAATGAAACATACCCACAAAGAGAAATAGTGTTACAAAAGCTCCATCTATAACAGACCCTTTGATTTATCTTGCATCATTGATATATCTCCTCATATTCCTTCTCTCCTGACCTCCCTGCCCCTCCTCCTAAATTCTTGTCCTTAGTTTATTTAGAAGCAAATTTATAGACATTGCATAATTCTACCAGTAAATAGGTTAGTATGGATCACCGAAGTGTCAGGATGTAAAGGAATGTACCAGCAGTGCAGTCATCTAAAAGGCTGCTCAGGGGCCAGAAGGATGGCACACTCACACATAATAAAAAAAAAAAAAAGCTAAGAAAACTCCTGGTTTGCTTTTTTTCAATAGATTAAGGGTGACAGAGAGGAAGCACTATTTGAATACCAAATGCATCACTTGAACAGAAAAAAATGGAAAGAATCAGAAAAAATTGAGCAGCAATCAGATATTTGAATTATTAGCTTTTGTGTGTATGTGGAGAGAGGGTGGTATTCTGAGGATCAAACTCTGGTCTCCGGCGAAGAAGTTGCTGAGACAATTCTCTAGCCTCCTACTCCCAGTATCTTATTGCATTTGTTTTATTCAACATAAAAGAACAGACATAGTATTTTTTATCTTAAAAAATAATATTGAGGAAAAATCATGCCGCTGGCAAGTGGAAGAACCGAGACCAGCATGGGAGTGTCAGCTTCGCCAAACTGGTCTGCATTTATTTCACTTAGTCTTTCCCTACATGAAAACCCTAGACTCAGAGCAAGAGTGACTATACACACATTATTTTCATTTTATTAGTGAAAAAATCAATAAAAGAGAAGAAATTACTTAAAACTTTAAAAGACAGGGCTGGGGGGTGCCTCAGTTGGTGAAGTGGTTGTCATGAAGTCCCGGGGACCTGAGTTTGACTCCCAGGCCACTGCAGGGCTGCTTACCAGAGTCCCTTAGCCGGGGACGGAGACAAGAGCATCCCTCAGGCTCCATTCAGTGGGCCCCAGAGTCATTGAGAGACCCTGTAAGGTAGAGAGAATTGAGGAAAACACCCAGTGTCAACCTCTGTCACACACACACACACACACACACACACACACACACACACACACACATACACACACTTCAATGGTTTACTGTATTTAATACAGTAATGGTTTACTGTATTTAACAGTTGATGTTCACCAAAGTCATTGTATCACATATCCATCTCACAGATACATTAGTTGTAAATAATCAAAAGACAACTAATAGCAAAAGAGGGTAAGTAGGAAGTGAGTTTTCAATATTTATTATCTTTGTCTTAATTCAGAAAATTTAATTTTTAATTGTGTCTACCTAACATCTGGCTCCTAAAAATTTAATAATTCCTCTGGTGGTCCAATATGAACCCATCATAGTCCCTTGCAGGGTTTAATAAGTTGCCTATTGAGTCATAAATTATATGAGAAAACAAAATGATGTAGGAAAAGGCACCCACATGCAGCTGGTGTCCTGCTCTTCCCCCTGTGCCTTTTCAGTGAGCGCTGCCTTGATGTTAGGGAGGCTGACTTCCTTGCTTGTTCCTGTACTTAAGTGCTAGCATAGACAGTGAACTGAGGGCAGCAGATTCTGTCGTGAGTCATATGTAATAAACATTACTTACTGTGCGTTTGATTTTTCTCCTCAAGCCATAACTGTGTTGCCTGATGAAGAGCAGAATTTGAATCATTATGTACAAGTTTTACAGAACCTGATAATGAGTGTTCCCACCAGGGAGCAGGGCTCTGGGGAAACGTCCTCAAGTTTTACGGAAGTTCCAGAGCTGAAGTTTTCTCGGTATGAGCTGATACACACCCCTGAGGAAGTTACCCCTGAGAATGACGTTCTGATCAGGCCCTTCAATGAGGAAAAGACAACTTTCCCTACTAGCGGCTTCACACTGGGGATGCAGAGGAAAAGAAAAACCGAAACTACAGCGTTCTGGTCCATCCGGCCAAATAATGTTTCTGTTGTTTTACATGAGGAGGAACCTTATATTGAAAAAGAGCCGGAGCCGGAGCCAGAATTCGAGGAGCCCCATTCCAGGCCATTGTGGCCTCCTGAGCATGAGTCAGAGGAGGATCACGATCTGGAACACGAGCATGAGCCGGACCACGAGCATGAGCCGGACCAAGAGCATGAGCCGGACCACGAGCATGAGCCGGACCAAGAGCCTGAGCCGGACCACGAGCATGAGCCGGACCACGAGCATGAACCGGACCACGAGCATGAGCCGGACCACGAGCATGAGCCGGACCACGAGCATAAGCCAGAGGGCACACGTCATCATCATAGTATGATCATCCGCCCATGGGTGCCAACCACACAGATCACCATAAGAACGAGTACCACCAGCAGCATGGATGTCTCCACGGACTCTGAGGACGTGCCCCAGCTCTCAGGCCAGCCGGAAACGGAAAACTTGGAAGACCTCTCTGGACACCACTCCGAGAGTGCAATACACGAGGATATTTTGAGGAAAATTTCCAATATCAATGTAGAGATTCAGCAGGGGCCTCTCGGTGACGCCAACAACCCCGAGTACAAGGAGTACATCAAGGCCTCCAGGGAGCACCTGAAACGGAGCCTGGCCCTGGCTGCAGCCGCCGAGCACAGGTTGGAAGAGATGTACAGATCTCACGTCTTCCCCGAGGAGCGGACCAGCGATTCAGTCGATGACATGGAAACAGTTATCAACATGCTGTATAATTCCAGGTCCAGGTTGCCGGAGTATTTGAATATTAAGCATGTACCATCAGAGCTGAGAAAAAAGGTCACCGCCGTGACTAGTGTGTTGAAAAAACTATTTTGTGCAGATCAGGTAGAGACGCAACGCCTCATTAGGAAGCTGTTAAGCAATAATATGAAAATCCTAAATATCCTTAATGTCCCATGATCAAACTCATTTAAGCAAAGGGCTTGTTCACCGGAAAATAAGCATATTAGTGATTTTAAAAGTTGCCTAAAATATTTTCTATTATACTTCCATGTGCTAACATCCTTATGTGTCATGTCATAAAATATTTTCATATGTACTAAAAACCTAACAATTTTAAAATAAAAATTTGCTTCATGAGTTTGTAGTTTTTTTTCTCATTAATTCAACAAGTTGTGAAGAGAGAGTCTCCAACATGTTTAAGCTTTGGTTCTCCTGACTACATGAGCTAGACTCACTCACTGTATGAGTTTAGAGACTGCTTGCATTGTGTAGTGCAGCCAGTTTTAACTAACTGCTTGCAGTCTTGAATCCGCTTCCAGACCATCTGGGTTTTCTGTAGGAAGAGCACACACTCAAGGCTGATATCAGAAGCACTTCCGTTTGGATGCGTGTTGCTTCTTTGGAAAGTGGGTGATATACTGAGACACACTCTGCTTTGTTGTCAAGTACTTGGGTCATTCTGAGGGACCCTGACCTGGATCTGTAATGAGGTTATCCCCACTAATTCCCTCCCTTTGCTTGCATACAAACTCATTAAAGATTTACAGATCTTTTGATACCAAGTATGACTGACACTGTATAATATTATATGACTGACACTGTGTAACATTATAATGAAAGTGCAGTTTTTTTTTTTCGTGACTTGACCAGTATTATATTCAGGTTCATTTACTTAGTACTCATTCACCAAGCCAGTTATTTATAGATCAATAAACATTTATTGACTCTCTGATAGAACAAAATGCTAGGCTTTGGGGATAGAGTGAAGAGCTATTTCCCCTCTCTCTGAGATTATAACAGGGGAGCTAGACATTGAGCCAATCCATCTGTTTTAAATTTTCAGTTGGGACAAACTCTTACGGGAGGCAGTTGTCTAGCCTCATCTAGACTGTTGAGAAGAGTAGTCTTAGCAAGCGGCATCTGAGGGCAGGTCTGAGAGGTGGGATGTGCTTGGGGGAAGAGACCGGTCCAGACAGAGGAAGAACATGTGTAAATGTTGAGCTGAAGCTGAGGATAGCATGTTCAAGAAGTGCCTGGAGTATAGAGAGGCCAGAGAACATTCCAAGATGGAGTGGGCGTATATGGCCAGAGCTCAGCCTGAGGTCTCATGGTGTGCGGCGGCTGTTCCCTCCTGATCCTGGGGTTGGTGGCAGCAATCTGCAGATGTTAAGCAAAGGACCCGGTGTGATCAAGTTTGCATCAGACACGTGCGTGTTTAAAAAACACCACGACGCTCTGGCCACACAGTTTTTGAGGCCAGCCAGAGTAGACAGGAGCTGTGCACGAGCCATGTTTGGCTTGGATTAGATGGCATGAAGTGCAGATTCAAAGTAGGACAAACAGAACCAGTGGCTAAATGCATGGGCGTGATTGAGAGTTTACTAAATTGATCAAACAAGAATTTACCCCACAGGGCTGTGCCGTAAAGTGATTCCATGGGTGTGGTTTCACCAAACCACTGTTCACTCTGATAATTTTAAAAAATAACCTGTTATGAGAAGCCTTAAGTGCCGGCACAGATGAGCAGTAACACGGGAACAGTATACAGCCATCATCCAGGGTGAACAGCCGTGTTCTAACGGACGGGAGTGTGGAGACCTCCCCTCCCCCCACTTCCTGGATGCTCAACTGGATCCCCGAGAACTTTATCAATAACGATATCATCCCGTGGCATTAATGGTATCTAGTCAATGTTTAAATTTGAAAAGTGATTAGACAATGGGAAATTTGGAGTTTTCTTTGTATGAATCAAGATCAAATAAAGTTCACACATTGCTATTGCCTGACTGGACTCAGAGTTCTCTTTTAATTGAAAGCACTTTTCCACTTTTTTAAAAAAGCTTGAAACTTGTTTATTGGAAAAATGGCCGTCAGTGCCATCGCTCCCTCGTGTGGATGTGGTGCTGTGGCTGCACTGTTGCCAGGCTGTTTTCCTGTCCGCTGTGTCTTCTTAATTCACTTAGGTTTACTTATGTGCGTGCGTGCGTGCGTGTGTGCCACCAGTGGCCGGAAGAGGTTGTCAGATCCCTTAGAGCTGAAGTCACACAGAGCTGTGAGCCACCGGATGTGGGTTCTGAGACTTGTGTCCTCTGGAAGAGCAGCAGGTGTTCCTCACTGCGGAGCCGCCTCCCTGTCCGGCTCACTGTATTTTTCTCCTCGTGAACTGGTGACTTAATCTAGAAGCACTTCATCAGCAGGAAGCTGTGCTTTGGTTTCCTTCTCCCCCACAGCGGCTTTGTTCCCTACATTCCTCTTTTCTTCCCGTGGTGTGTGTGTGTGTGTGTGTGTGTATGTGTGTGTGCATGTGTGTGTATGTGTGTGTGCGCGCGCGCATGTGTATGTGTGTGTGCATGTATATGTGTGTATGTGTGTGCATGTATATGTGTGTGTATGTGTATATGTGTGTGTGTGTGTGCGTATATGTGTGTGCATATATGTGTGGTGTGTGTGTGTGTGTGTGTGTGTGTGTGTGTGTGTGTGTGTAAGCTAAAGGTTGATGGAGGGGCTAGAGAGATGGGTCAATATCCATGTTGGATGGTTCACAATCAACTATAACTAGCTCTGGGGGATTTGATACTTTCTTCAGGCAAATACACATACATACATACATAAATTTAAATCTTTTAAAAGGAAAGGTGGAAAAATTCACACTTGTCACACTGAAGCCAGACAAATTAGAGATAAGATCATCCATTGTGTGGGAGCACAAATGTCTTGGATGGAGTTGCAGAGGAAAGCAGACTGCAGGGGCGAGTTGAGGGGACCAGAGACAAACCATGTAAAGACAGCTTCTGAAATTCTCAGCTGACTGAGACCTGAGACAGAGAGGTGACAGCTTCCTGTGACAGACAAGCCACTGTCAGCCGGAGGCAAGGAGCCAGGACAAAGATAGGATGGAGATGGCCAGGGAGGGGGCGAATCAGGGAGGTACACACCTGTAACCTCAACATTTGACAGGTAGATACAGGAGGATCAGAAACTCAAGGTCCTCTTTAGGCCGAAGAGGGGGAGGCCCTCTGTTGAGAACGGGAACTGTGCTTCGGAGGCTGGAGATGTAGGTGGAGGCCTGTGTCACGTGCAGCTGGGGGCTGTGCAGCTATGAGGGGGTCCACCCCTGTCTCCAACAGGGTCCTTGCTCTACTCGCCTCCAAGAATGGAGTGGGCAGACAGCTAAGAGCACAAACAGGAGGTATTTTGCTGTTAGTTTGGGATTAACGGGTCAAATAAAGCAGAGTGCCACACGGGATTTAAACAAAACAAGATGAGGTACACTTGGCGCCTGCTGAGAGCCGCCTCAGCAGGGAGCTCTGGGAGGGCTTTGGGGGTGCCAAGCGAGAGTGGTCTCTGTGGGAGCAAGCCTGCAGGCTGCAGACAGGAAGTGGCCAGGAAATGAACGCCCACCCGAAGCTGAGGAGCCGTCCCCTCCCCCCGTGGGTCACAGCACTTATTTCCGTGGAGACACTGTGCACATTGGATTACAGCTGTGGGAAACAGGGCTTCATCTGATTCATGTTTGATTTTTGGTAGGATACATTGGTTTATTTGATTTCACATAATAAGAAAAAGTAATAATTTTAAGCCTCCATATTTGTATTGAAAAGATGCTGACAAAATGCCTCTATCTCTCAGCCTAGAGGAAATTATTTTTGTATAGCATTTTTTTTCTTCACTGGCATTAAAATATCTGACTAATGAAATCTGAATTTTTTGGTCTTACCAATGTGTATCTTGGAACATTTACTTTCAGATGATGTAGAATGGGATTTAGAAAAGAGCCTTTTGTTTTATGAAGGAAATGCTAACAAATTCTCTCAGGAAATCTAAGTACACTTATTAATGTATTTTTCCCCCTACAGAACACATTTCTCTGTTTCTACACCGGCATGTCTGAATCAGAAGTTACCATCATCCTTATAGTGTCTACTATAAAGGGAATTACAGAGTACTTAGAGCTGTCCACTAGCTGAGATTGATTTTTGGTTTGTGAGTTTTTAATTTTTTTGAGACAGGGCCTCTCACCTAGCTCAGGCTGGCCATGATCTCTCTAAATAGCTGAGGGTGACCTTGAACTTCTGACCTTCCAGCCTCTACAGATGTGTGTCACTGTGCCTAATTTAAGCAGTGCAGGGGCTCAGACCCGTAGCCTTGTGCATGCTAGGGAACTGCTCTATCTACTGAGCTACACTCCCAGACCTTGCTTGTTGTTTTTTTTTGTTGTTGTTGTTTTTATATTGGTTTTACATACAAAATAAACCAAGCATGATGGGAACTTAATGCAGAGGAAAGACAAGCTAGAATGTGGCAGTTAGGGTTTAAACCCAGGACACTTTTCCACCAAGGAAGACACCATGCTGCCTGACTGTTGATGTTCCCTGAGGCCAGACTCACTGAGTTTTAACTTCCTTTTTTTTTTTTTTTTCCTTGGGTTTTTCAAGACAGGGTTTCTCTGTGTAGCTTTGCGCCTTTCCTGGATCTCGCTCCACAGACCAGGGCTGGCCTTGAACTTACAGAGATCCGCCTGCCTCTGCCTCCCGAGTACTGGGATTAAAGGAGGGGGCCACCACTGTCTTAACAGCTTTTTTTTTTTTTTTTTTTTTTTTTTTTTTTTTTGGTTTTTTTCTAGACAAGGTTTCTCTGTGTAGCTTTGGAGCCTTTTCTGAATAGCTTTCTATTCTTAAAACAGTATCACGCACAATACAGTGGTGTGTGTGTGTGTGTGTGTGTGTGTGTTTAGGCTACCTTGGATTCCTGCCTCTGCCTCTAGAATGCTGGAATTGCAGCCATGTGCCCACAATCCCTCGTTGAGATTTTGGTTTGAGGAGACAGTCTCTCGTGGAGGCAGATGCTGGGGCTACCTGTCTGTGAGGCATCGGGCAGGAGTGGAGCACTGTGGCCTTTGATTTCCTATGAACAGGAAATACTGTTGGGTGCCGAGTGATCTGTCTAATCAGCAGGTGCTGGGCTCTTTCTTGGTTCTCTGGCTGCCCTAAGCAAAGGCCTGCCAGCCCAGCAGCCAGCGGGCTACACTCGCAGCAGCAGCAGCAGCAGCAGCAGCAGCAGCAGCCGCTTTCAAAGTGTCAGCGCTGCCTTGAGGAAGCTGCATGGCAGCTGCAGCTGCTGAAGCCACCCTCTGGCTC